GTCCAGTCCTTGCTCACTCACATCAGTCCACCTGCAATGTGGCCTTGGTCCGTCGATCTCCTAGTGGTGCCTGTGACAACGCCAACATTTGTGAGATTTTCAGCTGAGTTTTATTGCAACAACAGGAAACACAGAGAACGTGGCCTGTCTCTGTGCCTCTCTGTCTGTCTCTCCACACTGCTCACTGTCTAACTCTGTTGAACACTGTGTCTCGAGAGGCCTCATATACAGCATTCTGTCATCTAACATCGTGTGAGAATGAACAACCAATCATAACCTGCCCCATCCTGATACACGGAAATAGGTCAACTTGATGCTGACGTCCGGAAGGATATCACAAGATATGAACAAGTGTTCATATCTTCAGGAACAGGAACAAGTGGTCAGTGTCAAGGTGATACAGAAAATAAGTATTCCACAACAGTGTTGTTGGATTTATTAATTTGTAATCAGTTAAGAATAATTATCTTGATGAATAAGTGATGGGAATAAGGTTGCAGGGAATGGGATGGGCTAAGAAAAGTGTATACTTCTACCCACTCCTTTTTGAGTGTATCAATATATATATTTGTAATATTTTTGTTACCTTCTGTTATGTTCAATAAAACTTAAGAAAAAAGGGTACTTAAACTACGACATTCCATCACTGTGAATTTTATGTTTTTAAAGTTCAGAAATAATAATAGTGGTAACGAAAACTAAATTTTGTTAAAAGGAAATCTTTCACACATTAATACATCCTGGGGATAACAGTTTCAGTCAGTTGTTTACATACTGTAGTTTGGTTCAAGCACCTGAACAAGCTTTTAATTTATATGTTAGCATAGGTAATTGTTTCTATTAGCCTCTGAACCTTGTAGGTATTTAAGATTTTTTCAAACATAAGTTTTGACAAACTCTCGCTCAGTTTCTAATATGATATAGCAGATGGCAGCAATTAGAAATTTTTTAATAATTTTGATTGCGATGCAACGACTTAACACGTCTAAATCAGATACACAGATCTTGCAGAGATCTCTATGTGAAAATGCAAAGCCAATTACAGTAGTTGTTTGGCTTCTAGAAGAAAGGTCTAGAACTGTTTTTCTTCAGACACATATTTTTTTTACCATTTTTTTAACGCTTGTTAACACGTGTTGAACAGTTTCCCTGATACGTGTTTAAAATTTCAGTTCAATATACAAAACATAATTAATGATAAAGCACACATGGGAAACTCTTTACCTTAATATATTCAATATGTTGCTCAGCCTTTCATCTTCTCAAACACAGAGATAACTGTCTTGTTGCTGTTTTTGTGTTCTAGATTCAACTATCCAGGATCAAACCACCCTGGGTCAAAGGACACTCCACCTACCAAATCTGCCCTCGGATTGTCCCCCCTGGCGAGGGCTCGCGGAGGTCGGGGACGGGGGGCGCGCGGACGCTGGCAGACATCAAGGCCCGTGCCCAGCAAGCCCGTGCGCAGCGCGAAGCCGCTGCTGCTGTTGCGGCCTCTGCCGAGGGGTCAGGGACGGCCAGTGTCCGGCTGTGGCCTGCTACTGGGTTACCGGATAGCAGCAATGGACGACGAACACGAGAGCATCCAGGACCTATCGAGCCCGGAGGAGGAGGAGGAGGAGGAGGAGGAGGAGGAGGAGATGGAAGAAGATGTAATGACATGGAGGAGCAGGAATCATCTTCAGAACCTAATTCGTCTAGAACACAACTACAGCTTCTCAATATAGAACCCACCTCACACTCTTCCCCTTCATTGTCCAATACATCAACTTCCACATCCTTGGAGTCCCCACAGACCTTGAGTCCTCTGCAAGACCGGTCTGCCACCATGTCAAAGGCTTGCAAAGATGTGGACGAAACATCCGTCACTGTCCAGAATTCCTCCAGTAGATTCACAGACAAGACTTGTACATTCTTCCCAGAACCTGACGCCACATTTGAGACATCAGCCACAACGTCAAACCAAGAAGCCCAGCTGCTCAAGCCTGCTACTGCCTCCTCTTCCTCCTCAGACATGACAGATAAAGGTTTTGAGAAACCTACACTGACCCAGACTTCAATCCCAGATTCCCTTCCTAGATTTGGGGCTCAGGGTGTGGATGTCATTCAGACTTTGGCTAGTCAGACCAAAGAGCAGGAAAAAGGGAAGGAGGTTGGACTGGGTGGCGTTATCCAGCATGGATCTCACCATGTAGACCGGCCCACAGATATTTCCTCTCCCCAATGTGTGGAAGTAATTAATGTTTGTAAGAAGAAGTACGATGAGGCTGACACACACAGTGACTCAACAGAAACTGCCTCAGACTGTGAGAATGAGAGCCAGGAGGACGAGCAGCAACAGTCCTCAGACCCACATTGGTGCTCGCAACTGACAACCCAACAAAATGGGCCGTTGGTCATCTGTAGCCCCCCTACTCAAAACCAGCAACCCGTCATTCAGGCCAACATGTCCAGCCGCCAAGGTCAGACAGTCATTCAGCCTCGTTACCCCAATGGTCTGCCTCAGCCACAACATCGTAACCCTTATCCCCCGGACCACCGCTCTTTTTCTACTGCTCATCCTCAAGGATTAAGAGAGAACAATGTTGTGGTCAAAATTGAAATTACAGAAGACAGTCAAACCTCCAGACCTAGTTCTGCTGAAGATGGGTTTCATGGAGTTTTGAGCTCTACTGTCACACACCCACATGTTGCATCTGTCTCTAAAAAACTGGCTGCTTCAGCCAGACCAGTGTCCACCGTGGAAGCCAACAACCCCTTGGTAACTCAGCTGCTCCAAGGAAGTTTGCCTCTGGAGAAGGTTTTACCTTCCCACTCTGCAAACAGATTGGAGATTAGCCGACTACCAGTTTCCCAAAACAAACCTTCAACAACAAGGAACCTAGGAGCTCACATTAAGCCTGAGTTCCCTGACTTACCCTCTAGCATGGACTTGACTCAGACCACCAAGTCACCAACGGGTTATCCAGTCTCTTGCCTCACTGAGGCCTCAGAGGCATCTCAGTATCAGCCCCAGCAGATTTCTGGTGCTGTTCCAGTCATCACCTCTGTGCCGTTGTCATCCAAAAGTAGGTCAGACATTGCTTCTCTGGCTTCTGTGGAAACTGCAGCTTTTAAAGAGTCTCCTCAGCTTTCCCAGAGAGCCACCCCAGATCAACCAACCTATCAGATTGTACCCAGTACCCCATCACCTACCCATGCAGAATCCCACCTCACTGAAAACAAAGCAATGATTAAGGTGAATATAAGACCCCTGCAGCCTCAGCCCCCACATTTTCACCAACAGCAGCTGTCCCCTACCCCCATTGTGAAAAATGAAGGTGGTCCAAGATCTTCYTGCCAAGCTCTTGCCAAATCTGGGCCTATCATGCCCATCAATGGAACCAAGAAAGAACCTGGGAACTCTATCGATGGCTACCTGAGTGGAGGAGCAATGGAGGGTCTTCTCAACATGGAAATGACTTTGGCCAGGATAGCCAAGAAGGAGCACAGCAAAGCTCCATGTTCAGCCAGCTCCCCTTCCTCCTCCTCCTCTTCACCTTCTTCCTCCTCCCTTCCCTTTCAGCTATATGGGAAGCTCCCTAAACAAAGTGTTAGCTACACAGCTAACGTATCTATGATGGACAATGGTGGTTTCTCCCGGGGAATGGCTGACGGTGTCCTTCAGCTGTGCCCCCGCCTGGCCTCCAGCCACACCACCCTCAGCATCCAGGCCTTCACGGATAATGCGGCTGAGGAGGTAGCACTCAAGTGCTCGTGTCGTCTCAAAGCCATGATCATGTGCCAAGGCTGCGGTGCCTTTTGCCATGACGATTGCATCGGACCCTCTAAACTCTGCGTTTCATGCCTGGTGGTCAGATAGTGTGTTCATGACCCTGTGCACTGTAGAGTTGCTGCCGGTGACGGATCAGCAGCATGATTGGGCAGCTTTAGTGTACAGAAAGAAAATGACAGTAGAGAACAGGACAATCCTTGTGGGCAACACATGCCTTGTATCATAAGTCTGTATCTTTTTTGTTGTTGCAGATTTTTTTCTAGCTGTATTGATAATTATTGTTGTTCTTGTTATTGTGAATTTGGAGCATGATTAATTGTAAATTGTGCTATTTACCTCATCTTGTGTTGCTCCATTTGTTATCATCTGGAGGTCACTATTGTTTTGGTTCCTAGTTTGCACTGCAGACAGGATCTGATAGTCTCTTTGCTCAGAGAAGTATTTTTTTATCCATTAAAAGGAGTAAACGAACTGATAAACTGTTCTGTTTTCATTCAGGGTTTGGTTCTGTTTACCTTCTCAAGTTAATCATAATTGACAAATAAATCTCCCAATATGCATATCAAGTCATTGAATGTTGAGAAATGGAGCTATAGCCATTTTGGTCAAGCCTTAAAATCTAGAAACCGCATAGCGGTAATATAATGACCCCCGCACGCAAAAAGGCACCAGAACTCAAGTCTCAGCATTGGTTGACCTGATGGACCTCATCAGAGCTAGACAACCAACGAAATGAAGCTCCTATGTTTAATAGTTTTTTGAGGTATAACCATTTTTGTATGTGCAGATACTACTTTTTCAGATAAATTGGGGTCCGGGTGGATTGAGCTTCACTGTCAATGTCAAATTTATTTGTATAGCACATTAATAACAAAAGCTGACCAAAGTGCTTCACAGTTCAGTCAAGACATCAAAGAACAAAACAAATAATAGATGCAAATACAGAAACAATATATGAAAAGGCTCTAACTGAACCTCCAAATCTTAAACATAAGCCAAAGAAAATAAATGGGTCTTCAGCAAAGATTTAAAAGCCTCAACAGTCTCTGCAATAGCTGCTCCAAAGCTGTGGAACAGTTTACTTCTTAATATTCGGTCAGCAAAGGCCCAATCACCTCTACAGGTGCTGGTCATAAAATTAGAATATCATGAAAAARTAGATTTATTTCAGTAATTCCGTTTAAAAAGTGAAACTTGTATATTATATTCATACATTACATACAAACTCATATATTTCAAATGTTTATTTCGTTTAATTTTGATGATTACAAATGAGAACAAATGAAAATCTCAAATTCAGCGTATCAGAAAATTAGAATATTA